AACATGGCTGGCAATTGCATCAACCATCCGGAGAACATCCAGGCTGACTCCCATGCTCCTGGTTCGCCGTTGCCAAGGGCCAACTTGCACAACTCAATTGGCTACCTCGTCGATGGAACGCCCATGAATGCAGCTGGCAATTGCCTGAACCACCCCGAGACCATGCAGCCAGACATGCATGCTCCTGGCTCGCCTTTGCCAGCTTCAGTGTACTCGGCTGATGTGGGCTACCTGGTGGATGGCACAGATTTGGTGACAGCAGGCAACAATTCCGTCAGGGGTGTTGCTGCATCCGCCCCAGCAGCAGCAGCTCCACCAGCTGCAGCGCCCCAGGCAGCCCCTCAGCCAGTGGCAGCAGCATTCGTGGGATCCTCCACTCAGACAAGCACCACGTTGCGCAAGCCTGCTGGATTCCTCTACTCCGTCCAGAAGGACGCCTATGTGGACCTGACCTTTGGCAATGATGTGGGCTACTTGCCAGACGGAACTCCAATGAACTTGGCCGGGAATTGCATGAACCACCCTGAGAGCATCGGTCCTGATCCTCATGCTCCTGGATCCCCACTGCCTCGCGCCCTTTTCGTGAATGACGTGGGCTACTTGCCTGATGGCACACCGATGAATGCGGCCGGCAATGCCATTAACCATCCTGAGACCATGGGACCTGATCCTCATTCTCCCGGATCGCCATTGCCACCCTCAGCCTATGCTGCAGACATCGGATATCTTGTTGATGGCACACCTCTCGACAAGGCTGGCAATAATGCTGTGCACTAGTGAGGTGGAGTCACGCATGGTGTGCCCCTAGGCGTCAACATGATGCCAGTGCACATAATTTTGTGACTGGATCCTTTCTTTTCATGTTCTTAAGATTCTTAGTTTGATTGTGCTAATGCTGAAGTCTCCGAATGAGAGAACTAGACTTTACTTGTAGCCTCTTGTAGCCTCTTGAAGCCTTCGCGGAACGTGAAGTCCGCTGCCCTGAAACTTTCGGGGACAGGCAACGCATCAAGCAGAACAACAGAACCATACAGAACTCATGGAAAAAGCATGAAAAAGCAGTCCTTTTGCCTTAGAAGTGGGTTTCTTACTAAACCACTTGCGGCAAAACCCTTCGACTGATGAACAGCCAAGCATATGACAGTTCAGTGTTCTGAGGCAATGGCCACTATGCACGACCGGGGTCCTTTTCACTGGTCTCCCTATCTGTGTTGCACAACCAAAGCTCCACATGACGCTTCCCATGGCTTTTCATTCATCCAATCTGTCGTGGATGGTGTGTTGACCCGGGCGTGGTATTGCCCGTGTGCCCAACTTGAGATGCCTCGTTTTCAGACGCCTCGGTCGTTTTTGGGTGGATCCGGCCACCCATCCAACGGTTGAAGCATCAGGTCAACAAGCACAAGCGGACTTCGACGAACAGGCCGATTCCGCCGCCGTTGGTCCGACTTGCTCGGAGACGACGTTGAACGTCCTCGAAGACCCACGAAGGCACCAACTCTCTCCTTCGAAGGCGACCGTCGGGGTTTGATGGTTTTGGGTTGGAGATTTGGACGGACTTGTTGGGTCAAGAATGCGACCGAACTTCCAGGTGGCCGGCTTTGTGGGGGGATGTGGAAGGGTGGCGCCCGCTGCGCTCAGACATGTGGGGGATGTGGGTATAGTCTCTTGAATCCAGGTGGCGCGCTTTCTTCCCGCAGAACTGCCAGATGGGTTCGCAGAACTGGATTCTAAACCGATCCAGCACGACAGGTTGTACAGTATATTTTTCTATAGTGTAGCGGGTTCATGGAAAAGATAAGGTTAAGCAGATCAGGAATCCGCATGGAAGTTGCAGTCCCTCTTTGAAGTGATTCCAATAATCATTGAGTCATGACTCTGAGTCGCACACGTTTGCCAGTTGGCGACGCTGGAAAAGCAGCGGGAGGACTTGCGGTGGGGACCCCCCGGTCGAGTGAGTCGCCACTCGGAATCCGACTCCGCGGTGAGTCGGCACCCAACGATATCCGGGGGCTGGATCCTGATTTGATGTTGTGCATCAATTAAGAAGGTTCAGCATTGTTACACAAAGCCGCCTGTTTCGGCATGTTTTCTGCCTTGGTCGCCGATGCACCGGCTTTCCACCTAGTCATGCTGTGGATGGGCCTTGCTGCACACACCTAACGAGCTGTAAGCAGGGAGGCAGCTGACTTTGGCTCACGTTTTTCCTGAGGTGCGAGGCCTCTGCCAAAGATCAGGCGATGGAGAAACAGCTCGGGATTCTCAGTAGCGGCGTGCGCTCAAGTGACTTGAACGTGACAAAACTTGACTGGGTGCAGATCAAAAGTTGGGTGCAGATCAAAAGGGTGATTCTGGGATATGTTTTTGGTCTGTTGGTTGTCAGCTGTTACGATTTTAAGGTTGATGTTCAATGTTTTTATCCTTGCCGTTGTTGTGTTTGTGTTGGATCGAGGGGGCATCTTCGTTGTTTAGGAGGATATTTTGTCGCTTCTTTTGTGGACTGTCGGAGGGTCGGAGGGTTGAGATGTGTGGGGCTGTTTCAAGCCGAGTTTTGCATTCAATGGTTGACATCAAACCCAGTGCTAAAACGGCAGGTGAAAGAGGAGGTTGTTAATTCTGTTCGTTTTTAGCTTTCCTACGGATGGATGAAGCAGGCCATGTTTGAACAGAAGTCTTGTGACATTCGACCAGTCTTTTTGTTGTTCGTTTTCTTTGGGGTCGGTGCGGTCACCGGTGGACACCGCGGAGATCGATCCCGGGAACGACCCTGGTACCGGTCGAAGGGTTTTGGACCGACTGACCGGTCAGACCTCGGCCCTCATGGGGTAGGTGGGAGTCATACCGTACCCCCAAAAACCATCCCTACTCAATGAGGTCAAGAGAGGCACGGGGTTTTTATGGCAGCCGGCGAAGTGCATGGAAGTGCACCCTGAATGGCGCAGACGCGCAGACGGGAAGTTGTAAACACACTGGCCCTCAAATGAGGTGAACGATGAGGTTTTCTACGGTCCGAGACCTGGACCCGTAGGGTTCTGAAGAAGATGTAGGGTTCTGAAGGGTGGACCCAATCTGTAGAGTTCTGAAGAACAGCCTTTTGACATTCTGGATTGGCGCCGGTGACTGAGGTCCAAGGAAATCCAGGAGTTGCTGCGGAGACGCGAGGCTCTGGGGGAAAGCTGTGGTCCAGCTGAAAGCTCTTGAGCTGAAAAAAAGGGCGGCATCTTCAATCCAATTTGTAGGCTCAACGGCTGAACAATCCACCTGGCCAACCGGCTGTCCTGCTTTTTGGAAGAAGAAGTCAACTTCAGAACTGTTGATGGACACCCATGTGATCTCCAATCACACCTGCCTCCTAAGAGCTCAAAAAACGCAATTCCTCGAAGCTCAAGCGCCTGCCCTTCAGACATTGCTGAACGTGAAAATGGGTGAGAGGATGCACAGAGAGAGAGAGAGAGACACACAGAGATGGTAAAAAGAATAAGAGCCTATGGTGTAAAGAGGAGAGAAGGATAGATAAAAGGCCGCCTTTCTTTGTTGTTGTTGTTTGGGGTCACCAAGAGGAGCTCACTGAGACATTGAAGATGGAGACCGAGAAGTTGGCGTTGCAGGAGCAGCAGATGAAGGAGACCGGGAGACCTGAAGGGCACCAGGATGGTGGTCAGCGGATCAACCATGAAGTGGCAAGAAAGAACTTAAAGGAGCAAGACTTAGCCATTCTGCCCATGCTTAGCATGCCTCCCCCACATCCAAGCTACTTAATAAATCTTACTAACATGATCAAGAACGCGCGTGGTCCGTCCCGGCCCACGCTCTCAGGAGCTGTCCGCGTCGGCGGCGGCCTTCCGCGAGGAAGTGCAGCAACAGCGACAAGAGATGCAAGATGCATACAGCCGCAGCTGGGGTGCACCGTGGGGGTCGGAATCGGTGGGGATTCTTGGTTAGACCTTCTTCTTCCAGAAGAACCTTCTTAGATCTTCTGGAAGAAGGTTAGACCTGGAAGCTTGGGTGGACGGACTTCCATGGGCGCGGGACGGACCGACGCTTCAGTCTTCAGCACGAGAGGCATTCATCTCACCGTAATTCTGAAGGTGGCGTTGTTTCTGAAGCCACGTTTCTCTGGCATGGAAGAGCTGGTGTTGATCAACCATCTGCAGCCAATGGCCAAAGAATCGTACCCACTTGCACTTCGTGAATGAACCCAGAAGCGTGCTCTTCTCGGTCCGGAATGGTGATGGGGTATCGATGGGGTAGGCCCACCAACGGTTCAGTCTCAGGTCTAGCCAAGTTGCCTCGTACGGGGGAATGGATGGGGTAGTCAGGTAGTCTCCGGTCCAACGAGAAGACCATTCTGTTGATCACTGCCGATTCGCGAGTTTCCTGACATGGCCGGCATCCCGTAAGACCTCTTTCCTCGGGCCGTTGCCGACACCAGGCCTTCAGCAGGAGCGGCCGGTTTGGAGGGGTGAGAGAGGTGTTTGTGGAGCTGTGGAGCTGGTTCCAAGCTGTCAGGCAGTTGTAGGGAGAAGTGCATCATGGTGCATCTGCATGTGAGTAGGTTCACTTTCTGGCACGCATCTCTACTTGAATTAGAGAATCCATCATGGAGGATTAGCTTGTCGTTTCTCACATGCCAGTAACGGACTAGAAGCGGTCATACCAGCAACATCCCAATCAAACAGACGAGGTGCAGACGTTGGGATCTTGATTCTCCCCCGTGAAGCCGTTGGGGCTTGACTGAGCTGAGGGCTGAGCTCGTTTTGAGGAGCTGGAGCGAGAGCACAAGCCTGGCGCAGCTGAAGCTGAGGAGCTGCACACACAGCTGGCCGAAGCTCGTGCAGTCGCTTGGTGTTGTTTCACGGGTTTCACAGGTTTCGCAAGCGCTCGGGTTGGCCATGGGTCAGATACATCTCCATTGTGCTGATGTGGTGTGTGTGTATGTATATCAATATAAGTCAAGTCCTAGATCACGTCATACCCCGACTCGAAGTGGCATGGAGACATGTCAGACATCCTCTCGGGCGTTCAGACCCCTTGGAAGGTGGGGAACATCGTCCACCCGACGCGACCGAGAGGTGGTCTCCCACACGACCGAGACCCTTTGTGACCTTGGCTCGCGACCCAGGCGACTGAAGCGCAGATGAATGAGAAGCAGAGGATCGAAGAGTTGCTGAAGGAGGTGATTGCGACCGCGAAAGTGGTTCAGATCTTTTTCCACCTCGCATGACGAACGCATGCATCAGGCCTTGGAAGATAACTTTCCTTGACGAACAGGGGGTGCCATCCACTTCCATGTTAGTGAGTCGGAGTGCATCTTGGACACTTCTCCTAGTGTGGCTGTTCTCTGGACACCATCAACAACACAGCATGATTCTTCGGACTCGGGACCACACCATAGCAGGTGTCCTCTGACCCCGCCAGGTGCAACTGGCGAAAGACTCCTTCGAAGCGGCCAGTGTGGCTCAGAGAAGCTTGGCGCAAGGTCACCGGGGCACCGGGTCACCGGGTCACCGGGGCACTGCTTTGGTGAGAGATGCTTCTGTTCCAGCCACCGAGCTCCACGGAGCACGGAGCACGGAGCGAGCGGTCACCCAAAAAGCGGTTCCCGTCATCCCTGGCCGATTGGGGTCCAGTCAGGTCAACGGGCACAGGCAGACTTTGATGCCAAGGCAGGGGCCCACTGCTGGCGGAACATGGGCACATTAGTCTTCGTGACCTCCGGAAAGACCATGTTCCGAATACCTCCGTGATAACCATGGTTATATACGTGGGTGGCATGG